GTGCGTGTACATAAATACTTTTCAAAAACAAAAACAATCGTTTCTTCCCTGCTCCTTTGAATTTGTGCTTTAACTTTATGCTTTTTTTAAACATATTCCAATTATGGCGGCAAAAAATCTACCTAATGAAGTTGTCCTACATATTCTTCGTAACGTGTTAAAGCTTTCTGGGTAAGGGTTGGGGTACTCGAGTCTTCGGTTGGCAAACGTAGAATTTTTGTTTAAAAAAAAAAAAAAAAAAATGATCAACTTGTTAATTTTAAATAAATATCGCGATGACGATATGAAAAATAGGTTCAGAGAACTTTTCAATGTTCGTCATCTGTGCAAACAATGGAACTCGTTGGTACCAGTTGTTGTACAAGAGGAACTTTCAGAAGTAGATGGAAAGGGATGGAACCTGCTTGTATGAGAATGATCTTAAGTTTCTGAATTAAGAAAAAAAAATAAAGTAAAATAAAATAAAATTGGTTAGTTGTAATTAAATGGAATGCTCTTTATTCTCTAGGCCGCATACCAAGATAACAGACTAAAGTGGGCATACCTAGATCCTTTTCAATTGACATATAATGATGAATCAAAAACCATCTATGGTGAATTTCAAGATTTCCCGTCAATTCCCATTAAACCTTATGTTTGTTTTGCGTTGGTGTTTGATCACAAGAGAACCGGTAGGAAACTCAAGTATAAAGATTTTTGGGGATTGCCCTGGCCACAAACCAACAATCAAAGTGAAGATTGGTATGTTAAGGAAGGAAGTGGTGTGTGTTTTCGGCGAAGGTCTGATGGTGAGCATGTTCAAGTGGTCGGATTGAAGGTTGGGGCGATAAAGTTTTTGGGATATTTGGATCAATATTCAGAGATTACGTACTAAAAGTGGTACAGAAATGTCTGATTTTTAATTTCATATTATCACGGATTGTTAATACTGCTTCGCAAATGACGAAATTATTTTTTGGCTTATTTTAATTTACCTCGCGTAATAAATTGTAGTTATAAATAGATTTTATTCTCGTCTTACGTTAGATGCGTTGGTAAAGAATTAAAAAAATTTTTTTTCAAATTCTAATTCTTTGATCCCTATAGTAGTGTGATTGGTCGTTGAAAATCAAAATATATTTTGCAGTGAAAAATATTAAAAATATTGAAATAATTATCTTAAGTAGCACTCATCCAACCAAAGTTCATCATCGTTTTTCATTATACGAAATTGTAAACTTGCGAGCGCGGAATTAATAGTTAGATACATACCTGCTGGTTATTTGATGGTCGCATTCCCACAGTACGGAAACGATGAAAAAATGATCCTAATTTTTTTTTCTAAAAAAAAAATTTACGTTTTCATCTTTCATTTCTGAGTGAAACAAGTTAACTTCTAAGATGACTTGAGACAAATAACAGCAGCAAAGCGTTGTTAAGATCAAGAATGATGGGGATGTTGACGTAGATGAAAATATATATATATATATATATATATATATATATTAAAACTGCATTGAGGTCATATTATATTGAGGGATGGTAGAAGACATTAATCGTTAGATATCTCGCGCTCGAATATGATCTTGCCTGCCAGCTCAAATGAATTTCCTGAATCGGTTTTAATGGTTTTTTAAAAAAAAAATCCCGCGACTGCAAAAAAAAAAAAAAAAAAAAATAACGAAACGACCGACAAACCTGTCTAATTTAGAAATCCCATTCATTCACTTTATTTTTAATTATTAGTACATTAATACTCAACCAACATTAGTTTTGATTATAATAATATTACGAAATGGTATTACTCAAATGTTAGCCATAATTTTAAATAATTTTTTCTTGCCATGATGTCATAATAGACATTGTCAATTTAAAATCATATTTACAAATGTATGTTTCTATCATTAAAAAGAAAAAAAAAATTTTTTTTTTTTTCTAAATCTTTTTGATAAAAGTAATATTTAAACGCGGACTAAACCGATTCCGTAGAATCGCGAAGATTACTGCTTGTGCTCCGTATTCGTCGCGTCATTTTCAGCGGGTTGCTTTTTGGCGACACTGGTGACACTAGTACACGTGGGATTTTCGTCGATCATCATCTTTATGTAATCCACATCATCCTTCTTTTCCTCGGGTTCTTTTGCAACCTTGGCTTTTGCCTCCTTCTTAACGGCGGGCTTGTTAAAGTGAAGAAGATAATCTTGCCTGGCAGTCCTCAGAGCATACCATCTATTAACCTGCATAATTAATCATACAACATGCATGAGTACATTTTTGCATGATCATACGGACGAACATTCAGCTGAACATAAACCAAATGTTTACCCAGCCTTTATCTTTAACCTCTTTTTCCTCAATGCTATCGGATGAATCGAAGTTTATCCCTATGGATGGCTTATTTGAAGAATAGTTCTTTGATCTAGTTGCTATTGGATAATAATAAACTGGACGAATTCATATAACTACAACTACTCACTGGATAATTATCTGCTTTAATTTTTTCATATACTTTCTTGAAGTCAGGCGCCGTTCTCATGCGTGATTTATCAGCAAGGATTGCCAAACCGTCAACGTGTTTATGACCTTCCCAGAGAGTGGTTAGTTTCTCAGAACCCATCGTGAATTTTATTGGTTCCAAAGGTTCGGTGAGCCTAGCTTTTTTCCTCACTCCTTGTTCATATTTTTCTTTCAATTCTTTCTTCTTTGGCTCCGATATTTTTTCAAAGGCGCAATTATTTGCATATTTCCAGAAATTCCACCTCTTTTCCATGCAGAGAATATGACGGACTGTGCGAGTGAAGTAATGCCCGTTAGGTGTAATCTCTTCGAGTTGTTTGAAAATCTTTTCCCATAGGTCCATAATCACCGTTTGCTTAAATTTGTTGTGATCCCAGAAGTTACTAAATAATCATTCTAATCGGATGAAATACATATCAAATATAAACCTGTGGTTCCGATATTGTATATGCTGGCAACTGCACAGGATTGCTATCTGCGGGTTTCTTGGCCTTTGAGATTCGAGACTGTTCGTCGGGAAATAGCCCCATAAGGTATTGCAATATAATAAGAATCTGCACAAGGACGGTTCTTCGGAAGTTTCGATCTGATATCTGAACGCAAGAATTCCATTAACATCTAACCAATCCAATAAGTTCACACGTCGTTACCGCTTTCAATACAGAAAGTTAAAGCACAAATTCAAAGGAGCAGGGAAGAAACGATTGTTTTTGTTTTTGAAAAGTATTTATGTACACGCAC